AGAGAGAGAGAGAGAGAGAGAGAGAGAGAGAGAGAGAGAGAACTGAGATCCTAAGTCTCTGGAATGTAAGGGAACTTCCAGGGCATCTATTGCTCTACTTCAAAGTTTCAATCCATGAGCTAATTCTCAGCAGATCTGGCTGGGGTCTTCCCACTGGCTGTGACTGCTTTTAGGGAAACGCGCATTCTAGCCCACAAAGCAGCCCATGCTCTTTTAGACTCGAATTATGAGAAAATAAATTGAGTCTCAGTTTCAGACTCAGTTAATTATGAGAAAATTCTTCTTACTAAACCAGAACCTGTTCCTGGAGCTTCCACCACTCTTCTCAGCCCTGGCCTCCGGTTTTAACACAGGCAGTCTGACCACTCTCCCCAGTGTAGCCTTCAAAACTTCTAGTTAGCCTATGTTTCCCCTATTTGGGCTCTACTCCTAAAATGTCACCAATTTGCTAGGCATCTCATGGGTCAAGATTTGACCTCTGTACGTCTGATAAGTGAATCTATTATCTCAGGCCATGATGACATTCCTTTCCTGAGTCCCTCCCTTGAACTCTTAGGACTTCTACATGCAGGCTGGCATGTGTCACTGGGCAATCACTCTGTCAATAAACACTTACTGAGGCCTGCCAGGAACTGTGCTAAGTACTGAAAATGAAAGTAAATTTTATATATACACACACACACACACACATATAGTCTAACATATATATTGTCTAACACACATATATATAGATAGATACATATCTATCTATCTATATATATATATGTTAGACTTGGATATAAAGTGAAAGGGGGAAGAAAGTAAGTAAGATGATCTTGCTCTAAAAACAAAAACAAGATAAATAAAATAACAAGCACTGGAGAACCAAGAGGTACCCACCATGTGTCTGGAACTTGGACAGGGCTTCAACAGAGGAGCTAGCTATCTGAGCCAGGAAACAGCTCTATCAATACCCATGTCTTAAACAGCTTTGTTGCTCATACACCTCAGTCTTTTGCCCTCACTTGCAATTCAAAAATGCATATATTTGGTAACATTGAGGAAGATTGCCCAGCCCCCTCAGCCTCTCTTGGAGGGAAAAAGGGATGGTACCTACACCTGCAGGATGACAATCATAGGTTCAGAGGTCGGCACTGTACCTGGCTATGTACAGTATTGCTCAAGTGGTTGTCCTCAGACATCTGTGCATTCTGGAAGTAAGACATGGGTGCAGGTAACTCTGTCATTGGAGCAAAAGTATAGAAATACTTTTACCACAGAACACAAAGTCTCTTGGCGTTCTGGAAAGGGGATAGAGAGAAAGAGAAAAACAAACATCCGTGCATTATGATTACACTTTAATTCCAAAACACTTTAATATAAATTACATTCACTGAAAACAAACCTTTCTTTCATGTGCTCTCTTCCAAGCCAAGTTTTCTAAGGATCTTGTGGGCTGCGGTCTCTTGCGGGTTTTCTTGGATTAGGTCTGAAACAGGATTTTCACCAGGTCACATCCTAGTAAATCTAGTTACATCAAGCAAATCCTTATAAGACCAATTTGTAAACCAGAATTGCATAAATTTCCCATGAACCTTCGACTGACAAGTTTACTGTAAGCTAAGAGATCTCTCATAATGTACAGGTCTACTTGGGAAAACAATTACTCCCCATCACAAAGAGACTGAAAGACTTCAGATTTAGAACAAAGGAAGCTGAATGTCCTCATCAAGATTTATTTTTCTATGTTGACCAAACAAATCTAATTTTATATTTCCCTAAAATTAGTTATTGAGTGCTTTTGATTTTGTAAAATTCTTGACTCCTTTTGTGCTTATCACAATGTCTCCAAGGTGGGAAAAACTAAAACTCCAAAGTCACTGCCATGAATCAATTTCTGATAGTGACCTGATAGGAAGACCTGACCGGCAGAGGTTCTGAGGCTATACATCTTTCTGAGAGCATAAAACCTGATCCTTCTCCCTCAGCGCAGCTGCTAAGTTCAAACTGCTGACTTTGAGGTTAACAGCCCAATGTGCAGTCCACTGTGCCACCAGGGGTCCTTCCGAAACCAGGGAGAACAGGTAATACCCTCACTGCAGAAAAGCAGGAGTCCAGAGAAATGTGGAGACTTGCTTTTAAGTCACACAAGTAGCCAGGCAGAACAATGCAGGGCAAGAATAGCAGACTCCTGGCTCCCAGCCTCCAAACTCTCATTTGCATCTCACCATACCCTTACTTATGCACATCAATATCTACCCTCATTTCCACTAGCCAATTCTTTATCATTTCAAATTTCCTTTTCATAGCTGAAAAAATTTTGTTTGCATACCTGAAGCAGTATTCTCATAAACAATACCTAAACATTACCATATGTGAGTTAGATTTATTGTGCCAAACTGGCCAATAGGAACATGTTTCAGTTTGATAAAGAGATAAATGGGTCTTCCAGGCCCGCCTCCCTCTCTTTTTCTCTCTGGTGCTTGGAGCGTGCTGCTGCTTTACCTTGTTCTCTGCCTCAACCCGAGAGCTACACTACCTGTGGGCTAAGCCAACCCCTGGGCCATTAGTTGCTCCTTCGAGACCTGCTTCCCCACGCTGCTGGTACTCATACATCACTTGAGCTTGAGGCTGGTGGACCCTGTCACTTAAATTGCTTGTGTTTGATATCCCATCAGGGCCTGCTTCACTAAGCTCCACAGCTACTGGCTGTGGGTGACCCACCCTGCTGTTTGCTGCCTGTGGGTAGACTCTGCTTGCTTTGTCTGAGGGAGGACTCAGTTGTCTGCTTCCTTGACCTAGGATCTGGCAGCCCACGTGAGTTGGAGGACTTCCAGTATGTTAACTGTTCCACAGAAGTGAGTTGAACTGAACCCTCTGTACTCTTGTGTGGACTAATAAGCTGTTATATTCCTTCTTGCTGTATAAACCTATCCATATACCATATATACTTGAGTATAAGCCGACCCAAATATCAGCTGAGGCACCTAATTTTACCACCAAAACTGCATAAAACATGTGCTTACACACGAGTATATATGGTATATAATCATAAGTATCCTGGTTTTGTTTCTCTAGAGAACCCTGCCTAACACTCAATGCAAGAGCTTTGGTGGCATAGTGGATTATGAATTGGGCTGCTAATCACAAGGTCAACAGTTCAAATCCTCAGCAGTTCAAATCACCAGCCATTCTTCAGAAGAGGCTTTCTACTCCCATAAAAAGTTAAATCTTGGAATCCCACAGGGGCAGTTTATTCCCACCTTATACGGTCATTGTGAGTCAGAATTAACTCAATAGCAGTACATTTGGTTTGATAAACATCACTGTATACATAAATATTTATTCAGAAAAGCATTTTACCAATGTTCTCTTACATCTGCTCATTTATCTTTAGGAGCCTCTTCCCTCTAAATATTCCTTTGCTTGATTTTAATGAAAATATATGGCAGCACTTTCCTCTAGTTAAAGTATCAAATTCAAATTAACCCTTCATTATTGATTTTTGGATCCTTCACATCATGACTAATTTTTAACCTGGGAAGACGTTCCCTTCTATTTTACATGTGTACCTTTATCCCGCTCTTCTACAGTCCACAGTCGAAGAACTATAAATTTATACTAACTATACACAGTTAACTTGGCTAAAAAAATACAGAGGATTAGAATACAAATAAGAGACAATTATTACCTTTATTGGAGTGGGTTGTTCACTGCAAGAAAGGGGAGGCAAACTTCCTTGATATCGGTAACGTTCTTTTTCTTGATGTGGCTTAGTTACCAGCCAGTTCAGTTTGTGAAAATTCAATGAGCTATACACCTATGATTTGTGCACATTTCTGTATTACCTTATACTTCAATTAAGAAAGCCAGATAGATTTTTGTGGGAGAAAAACTTCTACATCACTGAAGAGTATTCATACCACCGGTGCTGTCTTTGAAAATGGATAATATTAAGACAATGTAGCTATCTTGCCCAAGAGAAAGGTGGGTTCCAACCACACATACACAAAAAGATTTATTTTCTAAATACTGGAAGTATTCAGAAGGAGCTCTTGTGGCCTTGTTCAGTAAGCTCTGGACTGTTAATTGCAAGGTTAATGGTTCAAACCCACCAGCAGCTCCTCGGGAGAAAGATGAGGCTATCTGTTTTCATAAAGATTTACAGCCCCACCAGGGACTTATGTGGAGAGCAAATGTTTTGAAAATGATGAGGGTAATAAGTGTAAAAATGTGTTTTATACAATTGATGTGTGTATGAGCCCCCAATAAAATGATTAAGAAAGATTTACAGCCTCTGAAACCCTGTATTGGGCTGTTGTGAGTCAGAATCAATTCAATTGCAGTGGGTTTGGGGTTTGGTAAGTATTCAAATGCATTGCTCTGCCCCAAGCTTCAAGATCATAGTTTTAACATTCATGCAGTAATTAGACAAAAACAAAAACCTACTATTGTGGAGTGGATTTCTAATCACAGCAACCCTATAGGACAGATTAGAATTGCCCCATTGGGTTTCCAAGGCTATAAATCTGTATGGAAGCAGACATCTTTCTCTTCCGGAGGAGCTAATAAGTTCAAACCACTAAACTTTTAGTTAAAAGCCAAGTGCCATCATCCACGTGGTAGTTATATAATCTGTTGTCAATTTGAGAGGATTAAGAGTAAAGGCGTGGAGTTTAGCCTGTCAGTCAGGTCCAAGCTTGATGACCTATTTGGGGGCACTAAGGACATAAATAGCTTGCTCAAGGCAGGATGCAGGCTCACACACACACACACACACACCCCGGGAGACATTGTATCTGACAAGGCACATGGAGCTACACTAGTACCCTGAGCTGGAGGAGCCACAGGGAGAACCCTGCCAGCACCAAGATGGTTACAACGCCACTGGGTCCACAACATTTCCCACCCACTGGCCTGTGATTTTCCTGCATTCAGCGTCATTGCATGTGTTTCATGAGTCTGAAGAGGACTTTATAGATTGGTATTGGACATATGGGCTAATACTGGACTTACGAACTTGACCAGGACTCAGCTGGGATGTTTTCTTAATTTAAAATTAATCTTTATATAAATCTCTTTCTTATACACATGAGTGTCTATGAATTTGTTTCTCTAGTCTACCCAGACTAACACAATCTGTCAATCCAAATATGCTACAGAATGTCAAATAGACAATGTTGCAATCGGTTATCTCCACTGGCTCTCTGAAGATCATAGAATTTAAAGTACAGCATTATTACTTTTTTATGGGAAAACCCTTAGGAATGTTTCCTTAATAGTTTCTTATGGTTCCACAGAAACAAAACAAGAATCTGCTGAACAAAACAAGGAAAGGACAAAAAGGATCAATAGCAGGCATGCATACATAAATGAATGGGTATAATGTTTACAGGGAGTGTGTGAAAAGAAAAATGACCATGCATTCACTAAACGGCAGTTTACTGTTCACTTGCAGGCAAAACTCAAGACAGTGAGATTCTATGCACATACGTACACATGATGTTCACTTTATCATTTTGCAAATGAAAATGCGTTAAGATATAGAGAGCTGATTTTTATTAACTAGGCAATCTACTGCTTAGAAGCAAATGATATCTTAAACATCACTAGCTGGTCTAAATATAAATTAAAATCTGTTAAGTGTTAAAGCCATTTTTCCCAACCTAACAGCCCTATGATTTAATTTGTTAATAAAGAATAACTATAATGGGGATGATCACTTCAAGTTGTTTTCTTTTTTAGTTTTATCCTTAAAGGAGCTGTTCAACAACTCCAAGAAATACATGATCGTCACACTGGGGTTTCCCAGAGAGCTCTTGTAAGAATGACCAGTTACACTGATTTTTCTGGCATAGCCCAGTGGATTTTCAAAGTACTCTTCACAACCATGACAGGTAGTCCTCAACTTATGACAGGGATTCATTCTGATAACTCCATAAGTAAAATGCCTAATTATTTTTTAACATTTTCATTACTACTTTTATTTTCAGTATCCTTTTAAATCATATTGAACATTTGCAAGCCAACATCTGAGAATTACAACACCAACAAATTACAATGCTACAACATCGCATGTAGACCATATTACTACAAGATTTAACAACAATAAAATAATAATAAGACAGTCATAAGAGTGGCTCATAATAACTCAAAATATATTATGTCAGGGGCTACCTATCCCATTTGAGTCTCAAAATAAATCCTATGAAAAAATAAACAAGACCAGGCTTTCTATTTGGACAGACTGGTGGAACCCCTTGAGACAAAGACCATGTTCACCACTTAGGTCTGTAAATGAACTCAATCCCATGGCTTACAGTTCAGCTAAACAAGAGACAGGTCTATAAGAGAAACAATAACATTAGGGAAGTACACCTTCGAATAATCAAGCATGTGAGATCAAAAGGGCAGCATTTATCCCAGGACAAAGTTCAGAAGGGTGAGGAAAGGAGTAGAATAAAAACAGGATACCCAGGGAGGAAGTGG